TGTTATTTCTAAATTAAGTCTACCAAAGAAATAACACCATGCCCGAAGGTCTAGCGTGAATAATGCGGTGCGCGTGACTGTGATAAATATTTAACCCTCCGCTAGCACAGGTTACCTTTCCTTCCGTGCGAGATTAAGAGAGTTTATAATGACGCAATCTTGCGCTAATATTCGCAACATATTGGCGTTCAAGTAACATTTACGTGATTATTTAAAATTATGTAAGAGGATCGCATTCTTAATTAATATTTGCTTGTAGCTAATTTAATCTCTAAATTAAAAAAAAATAGCACTACAATTTTGAAGTCCTTTCTTTCAAATCCTCGACATCGTCACAAAAACATCTTAGAAAACGTGACAACTATGTATGACATGCCAGAAATGAAAGTTCTACAAAGACAATATGACATAAACGAAAAAAAAGACGAGAAAAACTGCAAAAACGAGACGACGCACTGAAACGTATGCCATGTCTGACTATGCATCGTCCTTATCTACTCGCTTTAATATCACGCGCCCTAAGTAGAACGCTGCGTTACGTTCAGACGTAACGCTGTTCCCGTAACACACTTCTATGAGAAGTTCCCTCCGAGAACTTTCACCATATTAACCCAATATCAGCCATATGGTTTAGAATCAGGTTAACAACCGCTCAGCGAGGTATCTTCCCTTGTGTCGAGAGGCACGGGGATTATCGGCTATCAATCTGATTTAGCACCATTTACGCAAAATAATAGCACAGAGAACGTCCAATATTGAAATTACACCGGCTTTCATGGATATATAATGCGGGTAAATTGAGTAAATGTTTAGTAAATAATAACATACTAATGTTAAGTTTATCGTGAAAAATATATTTCGCAAAATTTGTAAAAAATGATTTGTTAAATTTAGCGCTAAAAAATATTATAAAGATTGAAGAGTGAAAATATACGTATATATCATCTTAATCATCTAGAAGCGGGACGACGGTTCATCTTACGAGAAAAGTTACAGTTTTATTGCACCCGTCTTATCTCGACTTCCGCGATCGACGATCTGTAAACTATAACGACATTTCGAGCGCACCTTCGATCGCAACCATTCATAAATCTGCCCAGCGTATCGTTCTCGTCCATTAGCATCTCGTCGTGCGTAGAATCGCGGCGAGGACAGCGTATCCTGCAGTTTGTCCCGGTATCGCAGTTTGAGTAACACACCCGACGTTCGTGGAGGCAACCAGTCAGCGCTGGTGGGAAGTATAAAATGTCAATACGTTTACCGGCGGGCCATTGTTGAGCTTGATCTATGTTTATGGGCGTAACGGCGTAGGTCGCCGTCGTCGTCGTCGTCGTTGCATACGGAGCAACGGCGCGCGGAGAAAGCGCGAGTATCTCTTTCTGTAATGTTCCGGCCGTAATAGTACAAAGACGGTCCTTCGTTCCCGCTCGTGTCCGCAAATGTATGACGGCAGCACTTTTCGAGCACACGTGAAACATTCTGACACACGCATACCAAGAATTATTTCCGCGAGTTTCGAAAATTGTTATCTCCGTCTTTTTTCGACGTTGCAGAAACGTTCATAGATATACGTATATATAAATAATTTAATTAATCTTTATGAATTCCATGCATGTTAATTTTTATTTTATACGTATTAATTTTTATTAATTCTATTCTTATTTCTTTTTCTATCATTTTATTTGCGCTAACTTATACAAATAAAAATAAATATCGATATCATTTGATTATATTTACGTATATTTGCATGTGAGAAAAGTAAAGAGAAGATGTGGAAATAATTCTGCAAACTATTACTAATTCCTGAAAAACTTATAAATGTGCAAAGGATTAATCCTCCACCTCCTGCAAAGCTGTCGATAAGACTGAGGAAGATTGAGGAAGTTATTTGCACAAGACGAGAAATTACCTCCCTTCGTTCCTGCAATGTCTCGTATCCCGAGCGTGTTCCTCGCTATCTTATTACGCGCACGTGTCTTCGAATGTATAGCCGTGTGTTGGTGTATGTAATCCACGCCTGCGCCACGGCGATATCGTTTGTGATAATGCATGTGCCTAGTACAGATCTCCCGGTCGAACGATCATCCTTCGCTATAGCGATGTTCTCATTACCTTCGACTTTACACATTCACACGCGAGATAATACCACCACCGAAGCTAGAATCCGCGAGAATAAAGTTCTTCTCGGTCCATTTCGAAAAATTGAGCCAAAATGATGAAAGACTGATCGTCGAATCTATCACGTCGTGGTGTTTGAGCATTTCTACAGCTCAGGCTATTCCCCGTTTTCTACGCTTGATGCTACTTGGCACGTAGAGGAAAATTGTCAGACTAGAAAAAAAGAAGTAGTTGTAGCGAGGCGCTCGTACGCTTTGTTCAATATATTGCAATGTGTGTGTGTGTGAGTGTGAGAGAGAGAAAAAGAGAGAGAGAGAGGGAGAGGGAGAGAGTTAGGGAGAAAGAGAGGGAGAGAGAAAGGGTTCGAGGTGCCAGAGACTCGCCAGGGGAATGAAACCTGATTTAGGACTGCGGTCCAGAAATCTCCCAAGAGACCCTCCAGGCTGACCACCGCGCACTCGCTTCGCTTTCCAGTGTCCCTCCGAGTGCGATCCTCGCCCTCTACCACTACTACCTTTTCTCTACCGGCTCTTCGGTGTTCCACGTCCAATGTCCCCATGTCCCTGGACGCCAACAAGTGCGACTCTTTACCAACATCGCGTCGGAAATGCGTCCGGAATACTGAAGAGCCCTTCAAGTATTGCGGCGGGATATGTTATAACCAAAAAAAAGCAGCTTAACTTCCGCTTCGATAGAGAGAGGATAGGAACAGAGGAATAATACGAATGAGATTAGATTTTCTCCGCTGCGAAATACGTTATTTAATATTGTGCGATGGTCAAAAGATTTCGTAGAATTAACAAAGGCAAGATTTAATGTTACGGAATAATTTAACGCTAAAAAATACAACGTCCAATTTCATTTAAACCAAAAGCTCCTCCACTCTCGAGAAAATATTTTCAAATCGTGGAAAAGAGCGAATTTTGATAATACTTGGAGGGATAATATCGGCGGGCGCAGAATTTTCATTCGATACGTTTATTCCATATACTTGCTTTAAACTTTCCTTTGACTCATATAATATCTTGATTCGACCGCTTTTATATCGAGTATTCTTGCGAAGCATAGAGCGAGGAGCGGGCCGACCGGTGGCGAAGTTTCAGACGGGGGCCACGGGAAAGAAGGGAATAAACCGGAGTAGCGGAAAAGGAGGAAGGAAGGAAGACGCTCCTGGCACAGCCTGGCGTGTAGGTTACTACGTGCCCGCTCGCCGAGGCATCCCGTGACCGTGGTCTAGCTTAAGGATTCGGGTCAGGCTGTAACCTGCCTCGATTGCAAATATAGGGAAACACTTTTGGAGGCGCTGCCAAAACCAAAACTCAAGTAGCACCCGGGCGTCTCGAGGCGCACGACGCGACGAAAAACGCGAAAATTTAATCGACTCCTACCGCACCGATTCTCCCGATTCTACCTAGCAATTTCCACCGCGCGCGTATATATATATATATATATATAACTCATTCGGAAATCCGTAAACCTGCCGCTACCACAGCTTGGAAACCGAAGGAGATAGCTTACCGCGTCGCTCAATCTGACCGAAAATCAGTAACCTTTAAACTTTTCCCAGCTCGCCCACTAGCCATTTCCCTCTCGGAGCACGAATTTGAGAGTATGCCCAGAGTATTTATGCGGAAATGGAGATATTACACCCCCGATATATCAATAGCATATCGCCAGAATTCGTTCTGCTAAAATCTTGTGTTTTTACAAACGCGGCACTTGTCATACTTAAATAAATGTTGTTATATAGTAAAAATATTATCAATACATTTCATTATTATCGTAAGAGATACTCGCATGTTACGCCTCGACTCGTGAAAAATACGCGTTTCGCTTAAAAACTCTCAAAGCACGCAATGTCACGGAAAAATAGCACACCCTTTGTCACCGGATATGAATCTTATTGAACATACTTGGAATATGCTCCCACAAACGGCGGTGCAAGAATGCACCCGCGAAGCGGCGAAAGCTCGCAGCTGCAGTCACTGAAGAATGGGCCGACATACCGCGAGAAGTTCTTCGCCATCTTTTTTCGAGGCTCGCGCCGTCATGTAAAATTGTGGAGGTAGAAAATGTAAAATTCGTGCGAGCCGGCGGATATTAAAACGAGGATAGCCCGCGGAGCATAAATCGTGTCAAGTATCTACGCAATAACTTATCCCTTTTCATTTCCATCCTTCGCGCCCTTCATAAATAGATATACAGCAAGCGATGCAAAGTAGCTCTTCCCGCGGAAAAATAACATTCCCCTGCCATTTCAAGCACGTAAATCCAACTATTCGACTGATTCCAGTAAAAAAGCATAATAACGAAATACTTTATGAATAATTTAGAAAGTTTACCACATTATAGGATATCTGTGCGTTACAACAATCCCACCGGAAAATGAAATATGATGAAAGTTGTTCGTCATACTTTTCAGAACAAAGTATGTGTAAGTCCTTACTCCAGAAATTTTATCTATAAAAATTATATAACTTGTGGGTAATTTTGTAAAAAAAGAATTGATAGAGCCTGGAATCAGGTTGGCTAAGTCGAACAGATGGACAATATAGAAGTCGAATAAATTACAGACACTTTCTGACGAGTATATTGATGTTTATTTAACGAAGTCGAAATAACGATCGAAAGTGATTGCTCTAAACTGGAGCAAATAATTATCACGATCGTCGCTAAATAGAGCGGCGCCGAAATGAAAAATATAACTCCGCGAAAATGAAAAAATTGGAAAATCTCCTACAAACTAAACCTATAGAAACTATCCTTATTCTAGACTTCACCCTGGGAACTAAAGAAAATGATATGTGTGTCGCTCGGCATACGCAATAGATCGCTAATTGGATTGCGAGAAATAATTAATTTTCTTGGGCTGCATTCGATACCTGGCTGATAAAGATAAAGGTCCGCGGCGCGCGGCCACACAATCGCCGAGCGCTCCACGCTGCCTGGTTGATTCCGCGTGCTTGCGGATCTCGGAGGTCCCACGAAGAGTCGGAAGCCGCCACCAGTGAACCGTCGTGTCTCTCGTTCCGTAGTCACACAAGTCGTACTCGTCGTTCTTCACGAGTTCACGTTGTCCCCTTCGACGGAATCGCGATGGTCGTCGTGCGTCGTCATCCCTCTCCTTCTATTCGCGACATGTACGCTTCGTTCGTTGATCGCAGAAGATGGGGAACGCGTCGCCGCCGCCGCGCACAAACGAAACGCCTGTTCCTCACAACGCGAAAACACTCACCGAGTACAGTTCACGTTCACGTGCGGATCAACGTCGAGCGTGCCCAGAAGCACCATGAATACTGAGTATCGCTCCACGAGAGCGCGAAGAAAATCCTTCTATTCGCGTAGTTCACCCACGACAAGTCTAAACTACGCGCGGAACGCGTACGCGAGAGTCGCGCGGTCGTGCGACCACGAGCGCCGCCGGTCGTTCGACGACCACGTGAGCCGAGAGAGCGATCCGATCCAACTCCACGTGTCCACGATCTCGCTTGAATTGACCGGTCTGCGAAAACTGGTCGAGTTAACCCACGGTAACACCGCGATCGAGTGAATTTCGTGTCTTAAAACGAAGAACAAAAAATCAGCACTGAATCTCGCGGTCTGAATCAGAAAACCCAACAACAACGACGCGCGTGGTCAGTACTTGTTAACGTTTAAACACTAACGTCACGAGCAAAACATCAATAACATCACCACCGCGACGCGGGAGAAGTATCGCCGTACCGAATATCGTCGTTTTCAAACTCGCCACCCCGTTGTCCCCGCGACGAACGCTCCTCGTGCTAGGTGTCACTCGACTCTAAAACGCTGGTACCGCCGGCGAGAGCGTCGTCCGCGTAACTACCGACCGTCCTCCGCCTCGTTGTCGTCGTCGTACACATCAAGAAGAAAGGGCCGCGTCACTTCGGAGCGGAGCGGAACGGAGCGGAGTGGAGTGGACGAATCGGACGGTGGGCCAGCCGCGGGAAGAAAATTTGCGCGAGTTCGTCGAGCGGCTGGTGGCGACGACGACGACGCGTCCTCTCCCACCGAAACGAAAATCCGTCTCCGAGATCCTCGTGCGTGTCCCAAAGTCTCGTCAAAGATCCCCTCCGGATCGCGAATCCACGATACGGAATAGTGACGAGTGGTGGTGGGGGGGATGGGGGGAAAAATGAAGGGGGCTACAACGAGCTGCGTCTCCCCAGCTGATCGTCGTACCGATCAACGGCGATGTACAACTCGTGTACGTCCGGCAACGACGCCGCCTCTTTTACCAAAACGTGGAGATGGTGTACACTGCGGTCGCTCTCCGCACACTGAGGATAGCTGACGTCACGAGCCCACCACGCGGAGGTGGTCTCGCGAGCGACGGTTTCGCGCCGGCGCCCGCGGCAGCTGCAATCCCTATAGGCACACACAGTGCCAGTACACCCCTGCGCGCCGGTGTTCCCTTTCTCTCTCTCTTTCTGCCGGCGCTCTGACTACGTATATATATATATATATATCCCACCCACCAATACTACTCAGCGTGACTCGTTCCACCTACGTACGGCAGCCGAGTAACGGTTTAACCGTCGACGGAGGAGCTAACACCTAATGGGGTTTTACGTTACGTCACGTTGGGCACGGTCAAAGAGAACAAACCCATGCTGCTTTCGCATACTGTGGATCAATTTCAAGACGGAAAAACGGGGACCCGTGACTAGTAATTGATTGTAACACGTGCATACTGTAATCTCGAGTATGCCTGATCGCTTGCATGTGATTCGGATGTAATTTATGGTTTTCAAGACGCACAAGTACGATTAATATGAAAAAATATGATAAGGAAAACAAGATGTATAAACTCATTAATATGTCTTACAATTAAAATAAATTGGAATTATGTTATACGATGAAGAGATAATAAGCTATATAATAATAAAGAGATCGTATAATTATAATACATTATTCATAAAATAATAAACTCTAATAAATAACACAGGAACGTTAGATATCAGTGTGACGTAAAAATATCTACAAGAGAAAATAACGATGCCACAACTGCCGGAACCTTCACGAATTCATAGTTCTATCTAGCGTAAGTAGTAAAAGCGAGATGTGCTCAGACCTACCTGCGAGTACATCACTCGTCAGTCTGATTATTTTAATAACTTATTATTAAAACGTGTTTTTTTGATAAATGTGTCGGATGATAAATACATTATTATTATCTTATGTTCAGATTAAAAAAAAGAGATAAAACCATAAAATTCATTCAGTGATAAAAATTATATGATTATAGCTTTACACGATTATTAATAAAACAGTCCATATATTAATATTAAATTATTTCATGTATTATGCAATTATTTTTGTCATACGCTACAATTAATAATCATTCATTGTAAATGTACCATGATGTTAATATAACCGCGTATACATTACGAATGAAATACATTTAATGAAAAGATTTAATAACGTATATCATCGGAGCGATAAAGCACGAACGTTGGGCAGACGACGCGATATTTTATCCATACTGATTTGAAAACAAAGGGATAAAACCGATTGGCCGTTGGTCTTGCGGTATTATCCATGATCCTCAAGCTGATCCTCCACAAACAGGAAACCCAAGGCATGAAATTCCGAAGAGAAAGCTTGAGAGCCCTATCGGACCGCCGTTATGGGTGGAAAGTTTCGGTAGAAGTTTCTTCCCAACTCCCCTCCCCCCTCCACCCCGTCAACTCCATAGAAAACGACGGAGAAATCCGAATCCGAGATGAAGGATCGGCAAAGGATGACGCTACTCCGCGAGAATTTGCAAAAATAGACAATTTCGAAAGAGAAGAAGAGAGACGAATTTGATGCCGAGCATTTTATTCTACGTGTATTTTTGACACCTATATTTGTGAGACAACGTCAATTCGCGCCTATCAGAATTTTTGACAAGCGATTTATACAGAAAATAATTTCGAGTTATTTCTCTCTGAATATATTATATACTATATTAATAATATTGTAAAATTATTATTATATTAATATATTTGTAATATTCTTCTTCATATTACTCATATTAGTGCTCGTCGTTACATAAACCGCAAATTACATCTCATTCTTCATAGATCTGACATATTTAATGTAAAATATACATGAATTACAATCAATTACTCGTTCATGGATTTCCATTTTCCATCTCAAAATTGACTTCACCAAGGTAAATGTCCAATCGATAAACGGATTAAATCAAGACGCCATAAGCAACGGACCGATATTATAAGACGCAGGCTCGTCATGAGCGAGCAGCTCGGTTTAAACAGATGTCAGTCAGTATGTAGGTTGACGCAGCATGCTGGGAGCAGAAATGCTGAGGGTTTAAGGAAGGGAAAGAAAGAGAGATAGGAAGCTCGCAAGAGAGAACAGCCACCCGTCAATCTCGCTCTCGTTCCATCTCCATCGCTCAATTCCCTCTTTCTCCCTCACTCATGGTCGCCGGTGGCGTTGGGTGGTCTGATGGTAGGAGGTGGATGGAAATCAATAGCCCTGAATAATGAACCCCAAGGCAGCACCCTCTCTCCACGGTCTGGAGCAGTCTCTCATGCATCCTCTCGTTCGAAAGCGGGAGAGAGAGTGAGAGAGAAAGGGAGAGAGAGAGGGTGAGAGAGACATAGGGGTGTTCTCGCTTCCTCTCTTTTCCTCCTCTTCCTCCTCCTTCAATCTTCTTCGCCTCTTCTCGCCAGCGGAGGCCCTACTGAACCCTTCTCCTCCTCGCAGCCCGAACGGAGGTGTTTGTGTCCTCTCCTAGTCCCCAACTTTGCTACGAGACCCCCTCGAACCCAATTCGGATAACCGACGGAAGAGAAGAAGGAGGAGGAGAAAGAGGAGGAGGAGCAGGAGGACACGGAAAATGATTACCCTCCTCCTCCTCTTCCCCCCTTCATCTCGTCCCCCCCTCACGACGGATCGATGGTCGTCGAGCACCTTAGTTCGTGATTCTCCTAGATTCGGATCAATACCTACTTTAGCATTGCAATAAAATGGTTGGACAGCGCGTTATGATAGCCCGTGCTGTCTCTCTTCCTCTCATTCTCTTATCGAGCACCTATCGAGAAAGCTATTTTGCTAGCACTAAATTTATTTGCGATTTCGCTCGGCATGCGACGCGTATATTATCAACGACGACGGAAATGTAGCATTCGACGAGAGAGTGTGCAGGGGAAAGCGCGTAACGAAAATTAATCCGATATTTTTGATCGCGAATAATAAACCCTCATTGGAATAATCGCGCTTTAATGCATTATTGGTTGTAATTGATTGTAGCGTCGCGAAGCGACGGCCCGTACTACCGGCCTCTGATTTCTTCATCTAGCGCTTTCGATAACGACGGTTAGAATAAATAGACCCGTCAATTTACATAGTCGTTAACGAGCATGCCTGGCAAACCCTTATCGGTTCCGTAGCTCCTAAACCTCCTGACCTAGCCAACGCGTACTACGTTACCCCTACCTACATTCTCCTTTGCGCTCCAACAACGCGAATGGCTTCCCCGCAATACACACTACTCTGTGAATCCTTATCCTCGGAACAGAGCGCTTATTAAAGATCGATCGAGAACCCCGCGACGTCCCTTTATCCGGCGTTATCGCATTGGCTATAACTTGGAAATCCAGAAACGCTTGGCGCGCTCGCCACATACATAATTTATTTGCTCGGAGGATCGCAGCGTACGACGCCTTGTAGTAAAGCGACACGTATTTTTATCGCGACTTAAATTTGATTGATTCGATTGAATGGCAAATATTTATTATAGCTTGTTAGAATATAGCACTATATTCAAAATTAAAATTTTCCTTCGTAAAGGCCAAATTAATTAAGGACGGAATACGATCGGGAAAAATATTGACTTTATTTATATAATTATATCCTGTCTCTTATATATGCGATACACACGTTACGAAAAAATATATCTCTACATAAAATTCTTTTCATTGAGGATTCAGATCACCGACATAAAAAAAATGTTATCCCAAGCAATCAAACGGATCATTGTACCAGGCTCCTTCTTTTCTGAGAGCCAAAAGAGCTTGGGGCGGATCTACGGAACTATCCCTCAGTAAAGGCGGGTTGGTAACGACTATGCAAATTTCATTTGGCCCGGCCCAATTCTTCACACACGGAAGATTAAGACATTAGACTGCGAGGGAAAGAAGGGGAGGGAGGAGGAGAAAACACGTCCTAAACTGAAGAGTGAATATAGACGACGACGAGGGAGTAAAAGACTCTTACCGTCGGGGAAGGTACGACGTTCCTCTTACAGTCTCAATTATTTCATGTACTGAGCTATAAATCACTTGTGTGTGCGAACCTAAAACGCGCGCGCGCGCACGCTAATATTTAAGTTGCGCATGAAAATTTGGCCGTTCGCGTGCCATCGTATAAAATAATTTCGGTAGGTAGTGGTTATCACGTTTAAGGTCTAACACGTACAAATATTACAAATATAGCCGTTGTTCGTGCTGCGAACGGCGAGAATATTTGTTGGTTTTGCAGAAAAATGCGATAACATCGTATTTCTAAAATACAAATTACAGTAAACACTATTTGGTACTTAAAAAAAAAGCGTGCATGCTGCGCGCGGGAAAGTTCAGTACATATTTTAATCTGCATACAGAGCTGGCTTTGTTGTCGTGATAACAGCGAAAAAGTTTCTTTTATCGTTTCAAGCTACGGAATATGCAAAATATTTTATATGTATAACTGGTAATTATTCGTTTCGCTTATAACAATATACGTTACCGCTCACAAGCTATGAACCTTTGACAGAGAGAAGGATTTTAATTTTCCCCTTTGGGGAACAATATTATATCCTGTATATGCGAGTGTATATGTATTTTATTCGCATTCCTTAAATACATATATATATATATATATATATGATATAATATATATATTATTTCTGCAGAAGATTTTTGTTTGTTGAAAATGAGCGTCAACGTGAAAAGACACATTCATACATGTAAAATTTGTACGTGTAACACTGAAAAGTCTACTCTTCATATCTTTTGACGATGTTTTTTTTGTTCTTAACAATGAAAGAGGTTGTTGCATCTGGATTTACAAGCTTATATTGAAATAAAAATAGTTTCTAACGTAAAAGAGCGCCTTTAACATAACAATATTCCCCAAAAAATTTCCGTTCCCTTGCGAATGAATCCTGACGGCACCGCTGCAACCGCACTGCGCGAATTTCGCGTCCGCCGGAACAACGAACAACGGGAAATGCAGCGGCAGGTTATGCTTCCCATCTCGAGATCCTACCTCC